CACAAGCGAGAATTTGCGTATTTCCTCGGGGATCGGCAGCTACCAAACACTTCCAGTGAAAAAGACTTAGGTATTGTTGCTCAAGAGGATTTAAGCTGCTCCATCAATTGTGCTAAGGCTTCGTCTGCTGCTATGAAGAATGTCGGCTTACTTCAGCGNTTCCCACGTTTGCTATCAGCGTACATTCGACCCTACACAGAGTAGGCCATTCAAGCTTGGAGTCCATGGCTTCAACGTGATCGCAAGATGCTTGAGCGTCCACAAAGAACGGCCACCAAGATGGCCAAGGAATTGCATTACCTGGCATATGAGGAGAGATTACGATCATTGGGACTATATTCTGCTCACAACCGCCAAACTCAGGGAGACTTGATTTGACGTGTCAAATACTGCAAAACCCAAACCATCCGCGCCGATCGTTGTTCATGTTCTCGAACAATGTACACCTAACGGGACACCGTTTCAAGCTTCTGATTCCAAAGTATCGACTGGAATGCCGGCGCCAGTCTTTTGCAGTCAGAGTATGCAGTTCTTAGAACACCCTTCCATCTCATGTCATTTGTTCACCCACTATTGAATCTTTCAAGCGGAGACTAGATGAAACCTTGATACACCTCACATTCGTACACCACTGAAAGCAAACGGAAATTCACTGTAGCCCAAATTCTCTTTCACTTCACAAGCACCGATGATGTCACCTCTGCTGGTGATGAAACGTTTGCAAACAAATTGCCAAGCTCGGCGAACAGGCGAAATGGAATTCTCTATTATCTCCAACCCGGAACTCTATGTGACTTCTTTTTCGGCGTGTAACGACTCGTCTGTGTAAATATCCTATGGGAACAAGAGAAGCACGAGCTTGTACGTTGTTCCCATAATTAAACTTTCACTTTGATTTGGAGATCAACTGGTTTAGGGATGCTTTGAGACCTGTGTCAACCAAACTCTCTTGATTGGACTTTGGCGGTTTGTGGACGGGCACTTGGCGAACTACACAATTTCCCATCAAGTTCTAACCAAAACCGGCAATCCTTTAGACTTGACCAAAATCACAAATGTAACATAAACGGTGTCTTATTTTGCCGTGTCTTGACTGAAAATGAGCTACGTTTTTTAAAGGTGGATAGATTACCAGTTTTGTAATGATAAATATCATTCACAAAAGACGACCCTGTTACTTAAAACCCCAAACCCGGAATTCTTGAGCCTTGATCGTGGCCATTATGTCAAATGTTGCAACGGTAATTAAGTGATGGTAGTTAAGGTGCATATATTTTTGTGAATGGTGTTTATTGTCCTCGATCTGTTAAAGTATCTACCTCTCAAGAACGAAGTTCACTTTAAGTGAAGATATGGAACGGTGAGCATGTACTTTTAGTGCTATCACTTTTTTGTTTTACTTCAGGGCTTGTGAATGCAAAGCAATGTACCGGTTGTGTTACATTTGATATTTTTATTCACAGGAGTAGTGCATTTTAGATTTTCTCTGTATTACCATTATGTGGCATTCGATGCGTCGTTAATGAGGCTACAAAACGCACCCCGATAGGCGACGGTAATATTTGTTATGCATTACCTACCGATGTGCTTATCCACAGCATGGAGAACGTTAAATCGGATGAACAGAGAACACCTTATTACTTCACCAGTGCTGTCTGCCTTAAATATGTTTCTATCAAGCTGCTCCACAGTAATTGCTACTGAAAAGCCAGATGTTCCAGTTCCTTTTATCTTTGCAAATGTGCGGTTAGATGCCAACCACCAAATTCGATTTCTTCCACCATACAGTCCCTTTGTTAGTCAACTGGAAGGGGTCTTAAGTAAATTTAGTCAGAATAAGTGATCTTAATTCGCTTATTATTTAGCACATTAAAATCTTGTTCACTGAAAACACTGAAGATATAAGTCAAGTGGTTTGACGATACGCGCGCATCGTTTAAAACTTCTCCGATAAATATCAGTGCAGAATTTGATTCCATTGCGATGGTTAACTGCGCAGCATACGATCGCCACAGCCCCATCTCGTAATCAAGCTTTGCAGCATACACATTTGTATAAAATAAAATGTTTCAGACTTTGTTGATCTCAGATATTCCAGTGTATTTTGTTCTGACTCGCCCACATTGGCTAGACTAGGATTTGTGCGTCTAGGCTAAAGAAATACGGGTTTTGATTAGAGTATTGCGGGTTTTGGCCAAAGAATTGTGGTTCGGTACTAAGCGATTGCGGGTTCTGACAAAAGATGCAGTTGGTTGGTCAGTTTTAATTTCGGGGGATTTGATGCTTGGGTAATGCATGACGAAGATCAACTTTGAAGCACACTTTTCCCAAATAGAATAAAACAAGGATTACAAATTGTGTAGCTGCTGCATGAGATCCTTCCAGAATCCTTTTACCGCACCCAAGCTGGCATTTCCTGCATGAAACAGCGGGTTGATAAACTATGGAAAGCTGAGTTATATTGAGAGTAGGGTGATGGACTGATACGTGTCCTTACCGAGGTAGATCTTTCGGCTGGCACCGTGTGAACTTTCTTCAAGTGATTGGCTATCGCCTGTGCAAGCTGAAAATTCAAAAAAAGAAATAGTTTTATGGTACTACAAATCCATCCCATTTGATTATTGATGACAGTTTGATGTTACACGACTTCGAGATTTTTTGGACATGTGATGTATTCTTTCCAAATACACGTTCCTCAGACTGCATCGTTACGCACAAAAGTAAGCACGTGAACTCAAGTATACGCGGCGCATTTGAACCGACCCATTTGCAGATCGAGTTCACAGGTCCCTCAAAATCTGATCTGTTCATCGACCGACCTAAACTGAATCGGAAAAAGTTGAAAAATGAAGAGGATTTTTCGAATATGATTTCGAACGATGAGCATAAATAAACCTGTTCCACCCGGATGACTTAAAAAGAAAATGAGGTCATCATTGGGATAACTCTACCCGAAAAACCTGTATACCAATTTTTCAGTTGTTCCAATTAACCCACCGGGCGCATGGATTCAATAGACTATTAGTACATTTTCGGATGCGTCTGAATAAGTAGATAACAATCCTATGCTGTTTCTACGTTTGTTATCACACTACATTCAACCCCATTCAAGCGTGGAATCCATGGCTGCAACGCAATTGTAAGCCTTTGGAACATCCACAAAGAATGACCACTAAAATGCTCAAGCGACTGCATTCCAAGACCTACGTGAGAAGACGGGAATCAGTGGGGTTGTACTCCACACACTATCGCTAAATTTGAGTTCACTGTTCACCTTGTCGAACAACAATCACCTCGGGGGGGGGACTCACTCGAACTAGCGCTCTACAAATGTCGACTGGAATTCCGGCTTCATTGAAATTTTGAATTTTTATGATGGTTTAATCACAAAGCTAATGCTTAACGAATCCTATAGGGTATCGATAAATACTGGATTCGGTTGGAAACACAATTAAAAAGCAAACTATAAATTTTACTCAACGGTGCTGAACAGTTCGGTGTTTCATGACTTCGTGACTTGAATAACTCGATGTTTGGAGCACAAACGATTTGAGGTGGAAGAGGACAGTTCCAGGTATTACAAACTTTGAAGCTAAAAAGAGTGACGCCCGCAGTCCAGCCCTGACTTTTTTGGAGTGTGTTAGTTGAGCACTACTACGCAGTATCTGATCTATGAGGTTCTTGTCTCCCCGTGTTCGACGGTATTCGGACGGTATTCATCTGTCATCAGAGTGTACAGTATTTGGAATTATCTACCATCTCACCTTGTTTATGCCCGTTCAATTGATTCTTTCAAGCATAAACTCGATGAAACATTTTCATGTCTAAAATTTCGACATCCGTGGCAGTAAACGAAACAATAAACATTTGTGGCGTTCCTCATCTCTGCGCGATCCGNATCCTGTCGTGCAAAAAGCCCGATGGGACAAGAAAAGCCACCGCTTTGATTTTGATCAAATCTGACACATTCAATGATATACAAACTCAAAACCATTTATCATTTATATTTTAAATTACAACTCTGTAATTTCACGTTTGTACATTTATCGATTGCATACGTAATTTCTAGCGTTTATTTTCAAGTGCCCAATCTATAACTCTTTGCTTGTTACTCTTTCAAAATCGTGTTTCCTATATGTACCAGGTGCAATACAATCCCAAAGCAGGATAGTTTTATAATATTAAAAAATATTGATGAAACTGTCATAGGTTCACTGTGTTGCACAAACGCTTACTGCATGAGCTTTGTTCCACTCACATTGCAATAAAATCTTATCCTTCGCTAACCACTGGCCAGGGCAAACCAAATCTTGTGATTTACTCCCGTTGTGTACCCGTTCCAACCAACCTTTGTCTGTCCCACATTCACTCAAAGCTAGTAATTTCCTTTGTGAGATCATACCTTCTTTCTACCAATATACGGACTGTTCAGGACAGTCTTTAACAGAAATCAGACTTGATGCCGAACCAGTAAATCTAGATGCCCCAATTGAGTGTATACTTTGGGTTTCGAGAAGAAAACTGCATTCCATAACTTTCTACCCAGCAGGTCTTTTTCAGTGTCAATTTTGTAATGGGTAGATCAATTTCTTCACCGAAGCAGGAGCTAAACAGTTGGCTGGCCGGCCGACGGGCTGGATAGATCAATTGATCGATTGATTGATCGATTGACTGAATTCAGTCAAGCGTTTATGCACGATCGTTTTACCACACGTTCTTTTAGTTGATCAAATGACTCGTCCGCTACGCGAGCTTAACTGAACTGTATTCATTGATTTATGGTTTGGTAGAATGACATCATTCTAGTCACTCAGTCACAAGGATTTATTCAGTTTACACATTCATAAGCAATCTGTGCCAAACTGATGAATTGTGTTTTCACTGTGCTGTTGGCCTTCATTATTCAAGTGTCATGGGCTAAGCCCTATTGGCCACCCAGAATACCTCGTATGCCACGACCACCACCAATACCTCGCCATCCAATACCAAAGTTACCGCCAATGCCTCCATTAATACGTCCACCGTTACCACGGCCACCACCACCACTACCGGTTGCTCCGTCGGAAGGTCTGTTCCCTGACTTGATGCGCCGTGTTGTGCCACCACCAGTGCCCCGATTTGGTCCGTTTCGAGGAGCACATTCGGCCAGTTTGAATCACCTGCATCACTATATGTGGCATAAACCCGGTAAATTGGTGCTCAATCCGAGTGGGCTGATGGAAAAGTTATCCTCGATTGCATATGAATTGGAAGATGAAGACTCCATTCCTTTGATGGTTGAAGAAATTAAGTCCAACAAACCGGCTGCCTCCATCACTGTGTTAGACGAGATGCACAACAAATCGGAGTTGATTCATCTGCTTCTCAAGCTTCTCAAATCGACCTCGGTGAAAAACAAACCGAAAATAAAGCGTCGCCTCCAACTGCCAAAGTCCATCATCCTTTCTCAGCCGGCAACGGAGACTACCACGACTATAACACAACCGGCAAGTTGTACCTGTGCACAGCCAAGTGCTGATACAGGAGGCACTCCTCGATCAGCGTTCCCGACACAACCGGCCTCATTTTCTATGCCGAATCCACAACCAACCGCTGATACAGGAGTTAATCCCCAATCAACGTTCCCAACACAACCAGGGGCATTCCCTATGCCGAATCCTCAACCGACCGCCGAGACTGGAGGTAATCCTCGATCGACATTCCCCACACAGCCAGCTTCATTTCCCATGCCTAGTCCCCAGCCAGTCTCACCTGCTTTACCTAATCCTATGGCACCAGTAGCTCCAACACCGAGCTCACTTCCAGTACCCAGTTTACCATCGGGGACACCACGTTCAGAAATGCCTCAGTCATTG